AATGCTCTAGGCTGGCCATCCAGCAGCAGCCTAGACACAGTAAGCCATGTCATCACTACCCAGAATCCAATGCTCTAGGCTGGCCATCCAGCAGCAGCCTAGACACAGTAAGCCATGTCATCACTACCCAGAATCCAATGCTCTAGGCTGGCCATCCAGCAGCAGCCTAGACACAGTAAGCTATGTCATCACTACCCAGAATCCAATGCTCTAGGCTGGCCATCCAGCAGCGGCCTAGACACAGTAAGCCATGTCATCACTACCCATAGCAATGGATCTGAAACTTCCTCCATATAAGACAGGGAGATTTTAGAACTGGTCTTAATGTGAGCCTCATTCTCAGCCCTGACATATACACCAGGAAGGATCCCCTTTGCCTCAGGAGCCACAGGAAGGGTTAATGTCTTTCTGCACACTACAGCTGTAGTGAGCTGTTATTTTTGCACTTGTGACCTTCCTGTTCGATTTAATGAGTCTGGCTGTTCTCCTCTGACCTCTCTCAATAACAAGGTGTTTTCTGCCACAGAACTGCAGTGGGCTGATTCTAAGGTGCGGAGCCACCATATCCGGCGCAAAAAAATCACAGGATGTTAATAATGACTTACATCACATGTCTTAGCTGGTATAATGTGTAGCTGTGGAGTAGATGAACTCCTTGACCCTGCCTGCAGCCAGCTGACAGATGAGCAGACTCCCCAGAATGCCTCACGCTGAACCTTAGACCTACACCCTCTCTTACCGTCGGACTCAGAGGCGGCGCGGAAGATCAGGTGGCTGCTGGGTAACGGCTGCGTGATGGAGCCCACGGCCTCCCCCTTGGGGCCCTGCAACAGAAGTGAATGGGCAATCAGCACTGACAGGTAGGGGGCGCTGGTGAGCCAGGTGGGGGTGGGTCACTGCGACAGAAGTGAATGGGCAATCAGCACTGACAGGTAGGGGGCGCTGGTGAGCCAGATGGGGGTGGGTCACTGCGACAGAAGTGAATGGGCAATCAGCACTGACAGGTAGGGGGCGCTGGTGAGCCAGGTGGGGCTGGGTCACTGCGACAGCTGGCTCATGCTCAAACTGACCTCTTAATTATTTCAACTTGAGGAGCTTATTAATTGAAAAAAAACTGTGCATTTCAATTTAGTTTAAAGGTTACAGAAATTAGGTCTTACTTTTTGGATGTGTTATGCTAAAATTGTGCAAGATTACAAATGGCAGAGCTTCATTAAAAATGTATGAACCTAGATCGACAGTGCTAATACAGTCCATACTACCTGTATTTAAAGTACTAAACAAAAAAACAGAAAAGAGTCATATTACATTAGCTGTGTCACTGCATCCATAATAACTCCAACGGAATATAAAAATAACAATCATAACTGAAAATTAAGACAGTTCCTCAAACAGCAATTTAGCGTAAATGGTTCAACACTTCGATCAAGTCTAAGTCATTAAGAGGTTTGTTATAATAGAAGCATAAATCCCACCTGTAGCGGCAGCAGCAGCAATGACTGTCCCACAGAAGGCCAGGCTCATTCTGGGGGCCTTTATTATGCACTGTTCTGGTACACAGTTCGTTGTTTGCTTTGTGAGTCATGCGGACGACGATGCTCACGACGGCACGTCCTGTTTTTATGTTTAATGCCGAAATAAAAAGCCATTCTCTTCCCTATTGAGAGGCTTCGTGGCCTGATGGGTCGATAGGAAGCGTTCCCACACGGCGTCGGTTAGCATGGTGACGAGAGAACACAAGTCACCTCTTTGTATAAACGCCTTGATGGATCGGACAGGCAATTCCGAGAAAAATGAAAGCATAAAAAGATAATTTCCATGTGAAAAGCCATTGTCAACTGGCGTTTAATGGCAGATATGCAGTCGTCAAATTCCTAAATAAAACCAAAGAAGCCAAAAAATGTCAAGATCAACTACAGTGAGTCGTTTAACTGATGGCAGACGTGTGGTCTCACTGGGAGAAGAGGCATGTTCTCACCCTGACAGAGAGCAGACATGTGGTCTCACTGGGAGAAGAGGCACGTTCTCACCCTGACAGAAAGCAGATGTGTGGTCTCACCAACAGAAGAACCACGTTCTCACCCTGACAGATAGCAGACATGTGGTCTCACTGACAGAAGAACCACGTTCTCACCCTGACAGAGAGCAGACATGTGGTCTCACTGACAGAAGAACCTCTTTCTCACCCTGACAGATAGCAGACATGTGGTCTCACTGACAGAAGAACCACGTTCTCACCCTGACAGATAGCAGACATGTGGTCTCACTGGGAGAAGAGGCACGTTCTCACCCTGACACGTGTGGTTTCCCACCCCACTGCAGACATACCCCCCCACCCACCCCCACGCACACAATCCTCAGAGACGAGCTGAGGGGTGGGGCGTCACCTTGACGGCCCAGATGGACTGCTCCAGCGGGTGGAAGAGCTTGAAGCAGAAGCCATCCTTCTTGGAGGGCCTCTCGATGAGCTCGCAGGCGCTCAGCAGTACGGTGCCCACCCACTGGTCGCTCTTGTGCGTCTTGTAGATGAGCAGCACGCCCGGCTTCAGGACACACCACAGCTTGGTCCAGCTCTTCAGAGTGCCCCGGATCTGCAGCGGCGGGCAGCACAGGTCGTTTAAAGTGTGGAACAGCGACACAAGCAGCACGAAGGCGTGAGCGCAGAGGCCTAACCAATAACATTAATAACGAATGAGAAACATAAAACATCCTCTGTTCTCAAAGGATAAAAGAAGCAGAATGATGTATGGACAGTGGCTCAGGGTGTGTGAGCTTCCAAATGGGTACTTCCCATACAGTTCTCCTTATTTATTTAGCACAGTGTTTCCCAAACCGGTCCTTGGAGACCCACAGCTGGTCCACGAGGGAGCAAAACGGTGGACTGTTTGTGGGTCTCCAAGAACCGAATTGAGAAACACTGATTTAGCAGATGCTTTTATCCAAAGCAATAGACATTTTTGAAAGAAAGTGTCAAATAATTGGTGTAATTGAGGGTTAAGGGCCTTCTTCAAATGCCTGACAGTGAAATCACTCTGCTGACCCAAGGATATGAACCAGCAACCAACTAATCACAGGTACAGCACCCTAGCAACACAATAATCCAGTTCAAACTGCACCCTTGGGAATGTAAGGACTACCCAGTGAGCCACTATGCAAAATAATATTGCAGACCCACTCTGTTCAAAGGCATCAATGTGTCTCTCTGTTAGTACGTGTGAAGGCCTTGTGATGCACTGGCTTCCTGTCTAAGGTGGACCACGCCCTACTCTCTATGCATCCAGAGAAACATATCAGTGACTATTACTGAGGTATAGGTTATAGTAATAGATTGGAACGGCTGGAATTTCACACTCAGCTAATATAATAAAGGTATAGTTTGCTTTGCATTTGTGCAGTGGCCTTGTTAGTTAAAAGTGAAGCCGTAGTTCAGCAGAAACTAGCTGACAACATAGATCGTAAGGTGACCCTTGACCTTTAGCCAGTCGGACATAACGATGACAGAGGGGTCCGTGATGGTGCTCAGCAGCTCCTTGGTGGCGCGCTTCTTCTCCTCCCTGTAGTTCTTCTTCTGTACCTATTGGGGGCGCAAACACTGGCATGTGACTCATGTGGAAGGGGCACACTGTCCTAACCACACAGTGCATTAGCTTACCGGCCATTAGTGCTGCTCGGGAAAGCCGAACACATTCGAGAAGCATAAGAAAAGAAACTGGAAAAGGGATAAGCAGGGTTATAGATAGTAAGACCACTAGGAATCAGTATTCCATATATCAAAAAAATGGACTTATGTAAAGTTGCAGGGAGAAACCTTAAATCTGCAAGGCCAAGTCATAGATAAAAATGTCTCCGTGTGCCATAGATGGATAGATGCATGGCTGGGCATGGATGGGCACAGATGGGCATGGATGGACATGGATGGGCAGGGATGGGCATGGATGCGCACGGATGGGCATGACTGGGTATGGATGGATACGGATGAGCAGGGATGGGCATGGATGGACATGGATGGGCACGACTGGGCATGGCTGGGCACGGCTGGGCATGGCTGGTCACGAATGGGCATGGCTGGGTATGGATGGATACGGATGGGCACGAATGGGCATGGCTGGTCACGAATGGGCACGACTGGGTATGGATGGGCATGGCTGGGTATGGATGGGTATGGCTGGGTATGGATGGGCATGGCTGGGTATGGATGGATATGGCTGGGTATGGATGGGCATGGCTGGGTATGGATGGGCATGGCTGGTCACGGCTGGGCAGCATGCAGGCAGATGGGGCCTTAGCCTAACCTTCGTGACGTCAGGTAATATAATATATCTGCCATTTCCAAATGCCATTCAGCTCCCGCTTCTCCGGAAGCAGGCCTGCAAAGGCTTAGCTGACGGCCGCCTGTAATTAGCAGAGATGACTGCAGCACCTTCCTGTCCTGAAAATGATGGGTGACGTGGCAGTGGCCAGGGGCTTGGTGCTCATCTGCCAGGAGCGAAAGGCTAATAGCCCTCCCTAAAATGTGATCTATCAACCCTCCCCAATAGTGGCACAGGCAGCAGCCAGTCCAGAGAAGGCTTGCCAGCCGGACAGCCATAAATCAGATCCTGGGGCAGCCATGGGTGACTGGCTCCCAGTCAGATTTATGCTCTATTGTCAAAGAGATGCCGCTTCTCAATTGAAATCAACTGGCTTGCAACAATGCCATTTAAAGCTATGTGACCTACAGGACCAATCAGCATGCGGTGATCGTGTCACATGACTCTGCAGGTTTACCTTGAGGGACTCCTTCTTGTTGAGTTTGCTCCCAGCCACGGACACGTCTTTGTCGGACCCATTGTAGAGCTTAGACTCGGACTGTGGAAACAAGGAGGGTTCATTGTCTGACAGGTCAGCAAAGTGCAAAATGGCACTGCAGCACAGCCCCACACACACAAAGCCGGCACCCAGACAAAAGAAAGAAGCTGAACTGTGGTCTGTATCACTGGCATGGACTGATTACAGAGATATGCAGTGCAACCATCCTTGATAGCAGACAGCCAAAACCCAGGGGCTTGGTGGGGCGGCTCATTGGCTGATTGACTGTCAGTCTGGAAAATGGGACAAAGTGTGAGCACTTGGGACAGAGCCCAGCTCAGCTCAGGCTGTCCCCCCTTCAGTCCAGAATGCGGCATCAAAGGCCAGAGTGAGTCATGTGGCCAAAATGCATGTCTGATACATGAGCGGAACACTGGCATTTACGCTGAAACTTGCATCTCTCTCTGCGGATGTACATGATCAAAATAATCCACGTAAAGTATAACCCACCTTAATTCAGGTTAGTTTTAGTCTAGATCAGGGCTATTCAATTCACGGTCCTCAATGTTCTGAGCACTGCTGCATTTCCAGCCTTCCTTTACCAGTGTGCCAGATGAGAAACCTCTGTGGCCAATCAGAATCAGTAATTATTAAGCTAAGTTCCAGAAAAACTGGAAAAGAAGGCCTGGATTTGGAATCGAGGGCCAGATTCGAAGATCCCTGGTCTAGAGGCCATCCGGCTAAAGACACGTGTCAAACACAGAAACTGGAAGCCTCTGTATGCACAGCATGAAGCCAGGCTCAGTCAGTGCCTTGGACTCTGACTCCCTGTTACATAAATAGCTGGTCAGTCTGTTAGTTGGGGGGGGGGGCAGCTCCTGCTGAAAACTTCACCCTAAGCTGACTAATTTTCCTAAATTGGGAGAAAACCCACTGTGCTACCAGCTCTGGGATCTCTCGCGTATCTATGCATCGAAAATGCCAGAATTCAGAGTAAGGTAACGCGCTCGGTACTTTATTAATATGAATATTTAATTACACGTCTGGGAGGGGGGGTGAGGGGGGACAGCAAAGACTGTGGTGAAATAAAGCTGCCGTCACACCGAGGCTGCAAAGGAGAGGAACGCGGAGATGTGAAGAAGTCTGCCTGAAGCGGGGTTCGGGTCGCGGCCGCCTCAGATATCGCCGCGGATCTACTGCCAAACACCGCGTGGGTCGCATTTATAAAGATCTCATCAGAGACCCGTTAACATGGTCAGAGGCCCTCAGGCTATCTGAGTTGTGAGAGACCCCTACTATTTTATTTAAAGTTTTCGACCTGTGGTCGGCAGCTGGCAGTAAGAGTGGCCAAAGGCGGTGGGGGTATGGTAAGAGTTGTCCAAAGAGGGTGGGGGGACCACATTAAAAGGTCTGGGGGGGTAGGAATTTTATTAAACAAGGTTAGCTGGAGCTGCTTTTTAGCGGAGGCCGGGTAAAATGCGTTAAAGCCCCTCTGGACCTCATATCTAACCATGGACAGCCTCAGATGGACTGACTAATTGGGGTTTGAAATGGCGCCTCCCTCCTTCAGACAGCACATGGTATGCTCCACTCTGAGTCCGGGTGCCTCCCTCCTTCAGGCAGCACATGGTATGGTCCGCTCCAAGCCCGGGCGGCAACACCAGGAGGGGGAAGGGGAGGAGGAGCATTTAACCAACTTTTGCAAATTGGTCAAGAGGCGCAAATGATAAGGAAGACACGGTGAGAGTGGAAATTTATAAGGAGCCTGTCGGGAAAGCGTCTGACAGTCTCCTGTGTGCTGCTGCAGCCTCTGAGCAGAGCATTACCAAGCGGTACAAGGCGGTGCTTCTCAGCGCTACCTGGGCTGCAGTTCAGTGCATAGCCGTGCAAACCTGAGCTGCAGTTCAGTGCATAGCCGTGCAAATAGTATCACTAAACCGAAAAAAGGCCGAAAGCCACAGCAAGAGATTATGATGCAAAAACAGCTAGACTGCAATAAGCTGTGTAACTCAGCATTTTAATTTCCTGATAAGAGTTTCGGCGGGGTGATGGCGGCCTGTCGTACCTTACTTTTGGAGATGGAATGGGCGGAGTCTTCCCTGAGTGGCAGGACGTCATCCCTCACCCTGTCGAACCCTGCGGAGACAAGCTGCTGTCAATCAAAGGGAGTGAGTCACCGCCCCCCCACCGCTCGATCCACCGTGGCGACTGGCAGAGCAGCGATATGGAGGCTTCCAGTTAATTACGTCCCCAGGGCAAAGACAGGGGAGAACAGGGGGCAGGGATCTGTGGGTGGTGGTGGGGGGGGGCTGTGTCACTATAGGCACAGAATTCATTATAAGTTCACCGCCTCCACCATTGTCAGGACCAGTGTCACTCCTCCGGAGCATAAATAAATAATAATGTCATTTGGAGAATCGCATCGCAGCAGAGTATAATCAAGCGTATACAGGAAGCTGCCCTTTCAACCATTATAACTGAAAGTCCACAGTATGCGTGTGGTATAATCGTTAACGAGTCATGGGAATTTCTGTAGCATCGATCCAACTGATGCCAGCATCTTTAGCTCTTAATTACATTTAGGGCCCTGGACCGTCCGAGGGCCACAGGTGGGTTTGCCCCACGGGTGCGGGAGGGGGGGCCCTTAACCTGGCATGAAGAGACAGAATTAACCTGTTAACCTGAGGCCGGGCTCCTAATGGATGAAGGAAACCTGGAAGCTTTTCCAGCAAATTTCATTACTCAGAAACAGCGTCGCACATCAGGGGAGAGTTTCCAGACGACAGCTGCAGCAGTGATAGAGTGGGCAGGCTCCGAGCTCCTTCCAGACGCAGTAGATTAGCTTTCCAAAAGAAAGCGGGTATCTATGAATCAATAAGTTCTCAGTGTCACCCAGCAAAGTGCTGGCTTTCTCTGCAGCACCCACTAAAGGCTTGTCTGTGGTCTGTGATGCTGCTAGGCTGTGATAAACCACTCATTTACATGTCTTTGCTTACCTGCACCAGTCAAGTGTGCAAACAAAATTTATATTCCTATCAGACAAATTCAGATATCCCTGAAATCTTTGCCGTTGATAAACGAACGGCCTTCATTATGACCAAGTAAACTGGCACGGACAGGTGCAGATGGCAGAGAGCAGATCACCCGTGTAACCATGACACTCTGAAAACAGGGCAGGTCATTTTCTGAAAAACATATTTACTTATTAGTTTATGGTTCTGTAACCAGATATGAAGCCCAGAACTCTATGTGGTTCAAGTGAGAAAGAATGCTCAGACAGTCCCTACTCACTGGAGCAACTGGGGTTAAGGGGCTTGCACAAGGGGCCCAACGATGAATCACTTTGCCGACCACGGGATTTGAACCAACACCCTTCCAGACACAGAGCCATGCGCGGTAAACAAAAGACCGAGAAGCCAGGGGAGCAAAACAGAACCGATGGGGCCAATTGCCAGCTTCAACCAGGGCCTCTCAGCACCTCAGCAGAATCAAAAAAACACATTTGTAAATTCTGAACACTATTGTGATTAAATGGATGTAACCAATAACTGTGCTGGACAATGTCAGGTTGCATTTTCAGGTACTATTAAGGAAACTATTAAGGAAACTACAGTTATGTCCACAGCAGAAACACAGTTGACACAGGTGCAGTGCTTGTTTCTGCTACATATAGCCCATTTATACATACACACACACAAACACACACACACACAGACATGTTTGTACTCATATATTTGTGGGGACCATGTCTTCATTTCTATGGGAAAAACCCCAACAATGACAACCTTAACCCCTACCCAGCCCTAACCTTAACCATAAGTAATCAGACAAAATACAGGACTTTTGGCTTTTTTACTATTTTAGTTGCAGTCACAGATTTTTATAACACTGAGGTTTCTCTTTTGAGGACCGAAAAAATGGTCCCAACAACATCAAAATAACAGGATTTATATTTATGTGGGGAGACACAATGTAATATATACGTAACCCACACACATACACGCACACACACACACACACACACACACACACACACCACCACCACCACGTGATAAAAAGCAAACACACACAAACACACACAGAAGCCATTCCCTTGTTGATCTCAGATTATCCCCTGACCCAGGACCTAAACACACAGTTTATGAGAAGCACAGAGAGGCTCTGCCGCCCCTGCATGACGACCGGGAGGGACACAGCCTGCCCCCACCTCAATGACACTCGAAACCCCTCCCTGAGCACTAAAGACTGTGTAAACACAACCCCGCTCGACAGCCCTCGTGCTGCTCATTACAATAACAAACAGCTGATGCGGGCAGGGCGGGGGGGGGGGGGGGGGCGGTCTCTTCATGATCAGGCAGACTCTTCGTGATCACCTGACCCTCACGGCCCCCTGTACGCTGGGGGCCACACCATTCATGCAGTAAAAATGAAGGCTGAACTCACAGCACCCAGTACACACGTCACTCCAAAGACACCATTGTGCGGAATGTCTCTAACAATAAGACTGCATTTTAACCATTTCAATGATCCCATTCATCCAGCTCAACAACTGCTGCCCTGTTTTGTATATAGTCCAGTGGGTTGTAACAATCTATATAAACAAGAAAAAGAACAAATCACAAAGATGGCATTTTCTTTCTTTACTGCATTCATGTTTATGTCCAAGATCAACCTCTTCTCCTAAACAAAAACTTCCCTATTCCCAGACAGTCATGCAGATGGGTCATGGAGGGAACTGAGTATTCACAGAACTGCCAGCAAAGGCTTCCATACACCTCATCCCGAACTTTTATCCGGAACAATCCATGCAAGTGTAGCCAAGATCAGGGTCAGCGATGGTCCGGTGTCCCCCCATGGAGCCACGCTGCCTACACATCTGCCGACGGTGGCCCCTAGCCAAACTACACTGGAATAAGCACCGGCAGTACAGGCGGACGGCCACCATGGAGACTGAGAGTTCACCAGAGAACAGCATGAAAGCCCTCATGTCAAGATGATCCACTCGCAAAGCAGGACTGCAGCTATGGTGGCCAGAGAACGGAACATTCATCCCGGAAACAAAAAAACACAAATCCATGTTCGAGACGAGTGGCTCTCAAAGTTTTTGGACCAAGTACCACTTCAGATCAAAGCAAAGCAGTCAAACACCACATGGGGGGGAAAATCACAGTAAAAACTACCGCAGTTTTTGCCATGTACTGCCTGGGGACGCTCTGAGTACCACTAATGTTTTGCACAAGTCTCTTGTTCCAGATGTTTTATCACAATATTCATATGATAGATGAGACTTTGTGATTAAGCAGTTCTTCTTCTGTCTTTCTTAGCGCAGTGGTGCTGGACATGTCTTTGATGGCTTTTTTCTAAAATAAAGGTTCTTGATGCTGGCAGGTTCTGTCCGGCCCGGACTGACTCTCGGACAATGCTCTGCTCGGGTGGCACCGGGTCCAGATTACAGCAAGATGGGGCTTAGAGGGGTGAGCGCAAGGCGAGGGGCTGACCGAGCACCTTAAGAGGACTGAGAAGCGTCTGAGAAGCTCGGCTGAGGAGCAGTCTTTCTGGGAGCCGCAGACGTACATGGACAAAAAGCTGCCATTACAATGTTCTCCCAGATACAGACAGAGAAGGCCGAGATGCTGCATAAGGACACCCCCAAGGTTTTCAAACAGCTTTGGCTGACTTTCTGAGGGACCTGATTGAGGCAGGGCGTCCATAGCCTCGACCTTCATCTTCCGATGAGAAGCGAATGTGAGATCACGAGGTTTAGGCCTTCTCGTTATCAGCAGTGAGGCTAGTTAAAGGGGGACAAATCTATCACTGGGCACACATTTACAAGTTGAGGGACAATACAGAGACACCGATCAGCCTTGTTAATGACATACCCTTACTGGATTTAATCCAGAGGAGACCTGTTTGGCACAGGAAAAACATGCTAACTCCGCACACATACAGTGGATGGTGAATTTGAGCCCCCAATCCAAGGGGTGTCAGGCTGCAGTGATGTCCACCAAGCCACCAACTGCACTACACTGTGACTCAGAACCATAAACTCTCTTATTTGATGCAGCTTCTAAAAGATCATCACAGTCCAGTCAATGTGACAAACCACCCACTTCAAAGTGGAACTTGCAAACCATCCTCAACACAAAATAGCTTGCTGACGTCACTCAGCAGGCCTGGTCTCTTCAGGCTCACTGAGCTGATGCTGCTCTTGGAGAAACCTTGGTTCTCCCAGGAAGGAGAAGGGGGGGAGAAGAGGGGGTAGATAATCTAAGATGACCTGGGAGCAAGTCTATCCAAATGATGAGAGGAAGACACAGCCCCAGGTCGATAAGAACCACAGCTGTGATTAGAGAGTTACCGCAACAGAAGCATTTGGCTGCTCAACCACAAGCTGACTCCCCAAGCTGGATATTTAATGGGACCAGCCTTTTTGAACAGGAAATGCTGCAATCGATCACCTTCCTAAGTGGAGGTTACTGTGATTACTGCTTCTAAGACTAGTTTGCTCTGTCAACTATTTCACCTCTTTGTGTGTTCTTCATACTTCAGGCATGAACCACATGGGTCTGCACCCAAATCAACATTACACTGAAACATGTTCGATGGGTGTCCAGGAGGGACAGGATCCTTCTAGAACAGCGTTTCCCAATCTGGTCCTCAGTGACCACAAGTTGGTCTATGTTCCCTCCCAGCTCCCTGCCTGCCAGACAGTCCACATTTTTGCTCCGTCCCAGTTCCCTACCAGACAGTCCACATTCTGCTCCCTCCCAGCTCCCTATCAGACAGTCCACATTTTTGATCCGTCCCAGTTCCCTACCAGACCGTCCACATTTTTGCTCCCTCCCAGCTTCCTATCAGACAGTCCACATTTTTGCTCCCTCCCAGCTTCCTATCAGACATTCCACATTTTTGCTCCCTCCCAGCTTCCTATCAGACATTCCACATTTTTGCTCCCTCCCAGCTTCCTATCAGACAGTCCACATTTTGCTCATTCCCAGCTTCCTGCCAGACAGTCTATATTTTGCTTCCTCCCAGCTCTCTACCAGACAGTCTTGAGAACAAGAAACCCCTCCTCAATGGTTCTGGATGTAGATGAATGAAGAGCACCAGCCATTGTAAAAGGAGAACATCAAGTAAAAAATGACTGACCAACAATAAATTAAGTGGTCACCAAAGTTGACCAAATCCAAACTTTCACTCTAGTGAGCTGGCAGCAACTCTGAATGTGAATGCGGTGCCCTTGAAAGAGACATGCAGCCCAAATCTCTGGCTCCGAGATGAGCGCACACATTATTATGATGCACTGCATCTATTGGTGAGATTATACCTTCATTTTAATATGAATGGTAATCAACTAAAATACCTCATATAATATAAAAAAAAGGATTTTGCTATTGCATTAGATGGACTGAGTGTAATAAACATCAAATGAATGAACCAGGAAAATGGTGTGAGTACAAACAGCCTTAAGTGCCACATCAGTCAGACACAACAACAGGAATACTGAGGAGAATGGCTGTAGTAAAATCAACCGCGGGGGCCAATACAAGAAACCTCAAACAGCCCACAGGGGGCCCTTTCTGTGCAAATTCATTTCCTTCTCCAATCCCTTGAGACGTTCTTTTGACAAGAATCATGACAACTCAGGAACTACTTCGAAACAGGAGCTACTTCTCCTTGGCTGGGTACAGAGCAAAGTGTATGTTTGATCAACAAATCATCAGAGAAGGGTGCTCAAGGGTCGTCTGGGTTCCCGTTCAAAGACGGGGGGCAGAGATACATACGGCTCATACAGGCTCACAGCCACACTACAGTCTTGGAGGAACTGGGAGATCAGGTGCCACTGGTACGTGGTGAATCTGGAGGCACAGGGTTATGGGAGAAATGGTTTGCTCTCTCGAAGCATCATCATCTTCAGTGCCTCGGGGAAGGGTGTCACAGCAGGATGAGATAGGGCCCTTGTGTTAGAAAGCACTGCATCTAACAAGGCCGGACAAAACGGAAAAAAAAAATCTGCCTTCTGAGGCCGGGTTTGGAACCATCGCAAAATCTCGCAAACACTGGGCGTCTTTGAGACCTATCAGGTTTTGGTGAGAGAGCATTGTGACAGATCCCTGAGCTTGATTTGTTCTCACCTCCCCCCCCATCGTCAAGTGGACATGCTTCAGAGCTCACCGTGACTTTCCTGCAATGCCGCAAGACAGGTGTTACGGCCAAACTATGCAGTCAGTCTGCACTAAAACAGGGCAATGCGCAGACATAAAAAAGAACCCCCAAGTGGTAACGTGGGCCTGGGGTCTATTTATGAGAGCCAGCAGTCTGCAGAGTCAGAGTCCCCAGAGTCCCAAGCTGACCGCCCCCCCACCCCCGCTAGGCATGGCAGCACCTGCAGAGGGCCGTGGAGAGGTGCAGAGTGACGTCAGCCTAACATCCCACAATCCTCTGGGGGGTACAGCATCCGGCTGAATGCATCGTAATAGGCTTGTCATGTGAACAGTCAAAATATTCATAACACTGTTAAAAACAAAGTAAAATCTGCTGATGTGTTGTAGGGTCATGCATCATCGGGTCGCCGGTTCGATTCCCAGCCCCGGCTCTGTGTGTGTGAGTTTGCATCTCTTTCCCATGGCTTCCAGTCCGGCTTCCTCCTACATGCGGGTTAGGTGAGCGAAACCTATGATGAACTGGCGTCCCACCCAGTGTGTCCCCCATTGGGTTTCCCCGGACAGGTTATAGACTCCGTGTTGCCCCGTACTAAAGAAGCAGCTATGGCAGATGGACGGATGGACTTTTACAACAGAGCAGCTAGACAGAATCATTGCTACACGAAAGGAGAGATTTAAGACATACAGTCAGGTACAAACAGTAAACCTTACCAGAGGAAAAAAGACCACACAAAAACAAAAAACAGTTATCAAATGCTTTCTGGCCCAGAAGAACAGAACAGAATATTAGTCATGTGCTAAATATTTAATCACTCAAGATCAGTATCGATACCCATTACCACAAATCACTAGTGCACACTGCTAATAGAGCAAACCCAGTCTGCTATTTTTTACAACCAATTTAGGTAGACTTTTTTTTTGTATTGCTGCTTGATAACAAAGAGTGCGATTTTTTCACATTCATCTACACTTAAATTATCATTGTGGCAATCAAACTGAGAAACTCACACTCCACTTGGTCGGAGGCTAAACTCCACCACCTCACCCTCTCCCAAGTCCTTTGGTAAAGGCAATATTTTGTCTACTTTTCGATGAAATGTTTTTCTCGAGTATGTCAGCCAGCAAACCTGGCTGCTTTTAGTCTGAGCCTGCGGGTCTCAGGAAAATCAATTTCAGAAAATAGATGGTCACTATGATCTCAGGACAGAACCCACAGTCCGTGTGGACATCCTTCAGAAAGCGGTGCTTGCTCAGTCAGCCTGCTATCTAATCGCTGTAGGACGGGCTGCCCAGAGAACGGAGCCCGAGGTTAACACGTAGCGCAAGGTGGACAGCAGCCCCTGGGAGAAGAACAGGGAACCCGTCCCAAAAACACAGCCTGGGGGCTCGGAGCCAGAGCAGGACGGGGTCCGTACCCACCTGGCAGGATGGGCTTGAGCTCGTTGTAGCCCCCGAAGGACGCGTTGCGGATGAGCCGGCGTCCATCAGGCCGAGGGGGGAAGGCTCCCGAGACCCCCCCACACGTGGAGAAGCGGCGGCGGCTCAGGACTCCCTCCTCTCTCATCATGGGGGCGGCCAGGCCCCGGCAGGGGTGTAGGGGGATTTGTGTGTGTGGCCAGTGAGTGGGGGGTGGGGGTGGGGGTGGTGCTGTCGGTCTTAGAGGGGTCTGAGGTGTCGGGGTTGCGGCAGGATCGAGGGGGTAGGCAGAGGCTGCTGAGAGTTTGCTCTGTCCCGTGGGGGCGACCTGGCCTTCTGACAGTCCACCCGCACGCCTTCGTGTCCTCTCCTTTCTCCACCTCCCTCTCTCTCGCTCTCTCGCTCGCTCTCTGTGTGTCTCTGGTTGTGAGTGGCCGCCGGATCCTCCGCAGGCCAATCAGCGGGTAGCCTCCCCCCCGCTCCCTCCCGCTCACAGCCTACCCAAGCACGACATCGCTCTCTCTCTCTCTCTCTCTCTCTCTCTCTCTACTCTCACTTGCATTCCCCCCTCCCACCTTTGGGGGCCACCTGCTTTTTCCCGCCACCTGGCCCCCGGACTCCACATACTCCTGCCGCAGGAACCACAACTTGACTTAATCGTCTCAGCTGGAGGATGGTTGAACCGCCCCCCCCGTTCTGCTAACTGCCCGGCAAGGCAGATCCACTCCACCTGCCCAACTCCACTCTCCCACAGCACTGGCTATAACAGGATTGGCCTGTTTCTGCCACACCAAGAACCTTTTCACACTGACCTTTATCACCCAGGAGATCTACCTGATTAATGGTCAAAGTTACATTAGAGGACCTGCATAGTACCCAGCTCAGAGTCAATAGCAAGCCAGCATCTCCGCCCCCAGAAGAGTTCATTTATCAGTGTCAGCACAGGAGAACTGTCAGTTACAAGCTCTACAAGGATTACACCCCCCCACCCCCCAAAGCTCGCCACTGTGATCTTGTTAGGAGGATTTCAGGACTTTAAAGCAGGTTAGGGTGACCCCCGCACGTTTTGCAGTCAGTCAAAATCAGCCTATTCATCCATGGGGCCATTTTAACCCAAAGGCACGGAGCCTGGCAAAGGAAAGGCTTCGTCAGGCAAACGTCGAATGTTCACGGGCTGCCTTTTTTGCCCGACACATCGCACACGCAGCTGTTACCCCGTCCGCCGAGACTGACGGCGTCTCGGACTCCGGCGCGGATTTAAATCGCACCTGAACTCCCCAGGATGATTCAGCCTTCACGGAAAAACCTGCAGCCCCCCGGGAAAGCAGACCTTCACTCACGGCTCCTCGAAATTTCCTTTAATGCTTTCGCACCGTTTCCACTCTTGTCGTTTTTTTTTCAGCAACGCGAGCGACAGAAAACTTCCTCTCGCTGACATCAGGGGGGGTTTCTAGCTCCACGGTTTGCAGAGGGCAGACGCATTTGTCTCTCTGGTAACCACTCCTGGTCTGGGTTGCTTGGCAACCAGACCAATTTTAAAGATTAAACAGATGGCCTTGAGGAATGGTCCAGACTTATCAGGTCTAATTTTGTAGCACAGATAATTAAAATACCTCCAGTACACCCACATTATTCCTACTTTAAAAATAGTCCAAACATTAGTGGCATGACATGTGAACTCCCTTCACCCTCGTAAACTATAATAAAATAAACCACGCATGAAAATGTAGTTTTATAGGGCAAAAATGATACCCTTTATCCATACAATTAAACCTGAAATATGTGAATTAATCAGGTGGATCAAGAAAACCCGTTACGACATTCATTAGTCACTTTGTTTTGTTATTCATTGATTACTATGTCATTGCAAGGCCAAAAAAGTTTTGTCTTAAGAAGATTTATGTAGAGCTGACCACAATGGACTGACGCTATTCACTGACCTCATCAAAGGTCATTAAATAAACAGCCAGGGGTAAAATCAGACAAACGTAAGATATTAACCATGTGCCCCAACTGTATCAGAAACAGTCAAGGTTAGGATGCTATGCTTATGATCAGATGGTTGCAAGTTCAAATCCCAGGTTCGGCGAAGTTGACCCGCTGAGCAAGGCCCTTAACCCCCAACTGTTCCAGGAAACGTCTGACCCGGCTCGCTGAAAAACTGCTTGGATGAAAGCCTCAGCTAAATAAAGTGAAATGTTTAAGTGGTGGTAATGGAAAGTATGGGGTAATCAGCCCATCTCTATGCAGACAGAGGCTGCGGAGTGGAAGCCAGGCATGGGATCCAGTTCCACATTATGACTTTATCGCAAACGGGCTGCTTTATTTGGGAGAACCGGAGCGGAGAAACACCAGCAGCCTGCTTTTGTTTTTGGGGTATCGCTTCTGGCACCAAGTAAGCCCAACCCCCCCCCCATCACCCCCACCACAGGCAAGATAAGGAGAAATTACTTATTCATGCAGCAGGACACAGTGCCCCAGCTCCCCAGTGACGGAGCAGGAGCACCGGTGGGCGTGCTGGGGTACGCGGGGGGGGACCTCAGCAACACGCCACTTTAATCTCCATTAAGGGGGGAGGACCTAAATATGGGAGAAGCTATCAGTATCCGCCTCCCCATCTCTGCTCCACGCCACGTTCCCCTCACCCTGCCTAGCTCACCCATCCCGAATCACCCTGTTGTCACCCTCCCATCGACCACACCCTCCGTTACATCTGCCTGTAACTGTGGTCCAGAGAAGTGTGGCTCAGTGGGTCAGGGTGCTGTGCCGGTGAGATTGTGGGCTCTAATCCCGCAGTCGGCAGACTGATTTCACCTTTTAACCGGCGAGCTTTTAGGGCCCCTGTGCGGTGGCATTAGTGGGAAGACCTCGCTGGAAAGGCCTCTTTGGGGGCCAGCAACTCGCTGAAGAGGAAGTCAAGACACCGAAGACTTTCCTTCTATTATCTAAATGGAATAAGGGACAAATCTTTGAAATGTCGAGAAGTGAATGGGCCTATTAAACAGCTTAATTAAAGGAACAGGTAACCAAATGGGAAAGAAAAATCCCCCCCCCCCCACCCCAAACAGTTCTCTCGTCGATGGGGACGCAGCGCTGGGGACAGAATTTGATGGGTGACAGTTTTCCTTTTTTATCACCCGCCAGCATCTTCTACAAAGGTGCTGGCAACGGTTATGGAACATGATGAAACTGTCACGGAAGGGTGCAGAGGGTAATCAGACAAACACTGATAGCTACACAACTGTACAAGGAAAGTGAAACTATGTATCCATACAGACATCCATCCAAACACATCCATCCAAACACACATCGCTACAGACATCCATGCATACAGACATCCATCCAAACACACATCGCTACAGACATCCATGCATACAGACATCCATGCATACAGACATCCACCCATATAGACATCCATCCAAACACACATCGCTAGACATCCACACATAGTCATCCACCCATACTTACATCTAACCAAAATCCATACATGCATTCATTTATCAAAACTCCTAATGAATCACGTTTATGAAATACAGTACAAACAGGTATAGTAAAATCCAACCATTTTGCTTTCTGACATTAAGATTACGTAACAATATGTCAGGCGTCATTAACCAACGGTGTGCAGACACCCGACTGCGAGATGGTTTCGGGTCACGTGACCCATGCTGGTCAAGTCACGACTGAAAGGCTTCTGTTGCCAACTCCTGTCATCGTCTGGCCGGTCGCTATGGAGACGGGGGTCGGTTGATAGCGTTGGTGCTGATAGGCGGACACACGTCAAGCGGTTCTGCCCCAAATGACCACTGACACAAAGAGGGTGAAAACGTGCTGTCGCTCAGCCTTTCAGGGGATTTAACCAATCAATGGGTGGCTCATTTGGTAGAATAGCACAGACCGGCTGTCTGGAATCAGAGGTAAACTCTGACAAAAAGGACGACACTCACTGAAGCAGAATGGAAATCTCTGCCTGTCCCCGTGGCAAAGCCTCTCCCAACATCACATCCCCCAAAGAACAAAACTGGCTGCATTAACAACAAAACAAAAACGGGGAACGCAAGGATAGGTGCTGAGAAACAACCAAAAGTCCCTTCAGCCTAATCCACATGGGTCTGGAGGTGACAGTTAAGTACCATGAGACTGTCTGAGCAGGATAAGGTGAGAAGGTGGACAGATGAGTAGATCAGAATCAGATACAAGTGTCAGGAGAGTACTGAGAAGCCTTGGCTGACACTGATCACTTTTCTGCACTGATAGTTGACTCTGTAACTTAAGAATGGGACCAATGTACCTTTGGAGTAGGATTTAAATTTTACTGTGATTTTGGAGGTCTTTGGTCCTTCTCTTCCACAGAAGGTGGAGTTTTTCAGTCGACGGAGCTATGCAGATTTTCTACAGGATGACAATGATCATGCTTTTTATTTATCAATACCTTAAAAGCCAGAAGCGATATTCTGTTTTGCATTACTAATTTCCTAAATTTACTAAATATGGGTTTGATGGGCACTGGCAAATCTACAGCAGAGGATTAATGTTCAGTGTGACGGTTGATGACTCACAACCAGCAAAGACATCTAAAGACCCAAAGTGTCCTTGGATCATGCCTAAAAATGACCTGCAGGGGGTGGCAGTGAGCAACAAATAAAGAGAGTGTTTCCTTAAATAGTACATTTACACCTGAAGAGCCAGGCACCCCTCACTTCTTCATTACATAATTCCAGGCCAATAACCACTGACCTATCCCTAGAGAGAGGCTTTCCAATCCAGTCTCCTGAGCAAAGTGTTTATTTGAAGTGTATAGTTCTGCAATAAACAACAGGAAGCGGCACAGATGCTTCTGTGGAAAATGGCAGCGTCAAGGTACTAGAAGGGAAACAAGTCTGGCATTTTCACCTTGATTTGCATTGCAGGCCAGCTGTCACATCACTCTGCCGTCCAATGCACGATGTAACACGACAAGCCAAGGATCCCAGCGAAGGGGAAAGGGCAGCTCAGCACAGTACCCACTGATGACATTAATACTACCAGCAAGACTCCAGCTCCCCTCTTACCCACTTATCCATCCTTAAGTGACCTCATAAGTGACACCATTCTTGAAGTCCGAGTGCCTGAAGTCCAGTCCGTCAGCACTGATGTTGTGTGTTCTCAGCTGCCAACTCTAGGCTTCCCGGCAGAGGACCAAACTCCCAAAAACCACTGCCAGAAGCCCTTGCTGTCCCAAATCCTGAAGAAGCAGGTCACCATACGGAGGTTCCACTACTGGTTTCCCCGCCTCAAAAAGCAGGTTCCACACTGGGGTGAGGTCAGGGGCTTAGTGGAAACCACAAACCGGCTGGCTGCGACTGGAATTGAGTTTTTTAATACTGCTCAGTGGGGCATAATTCCAGGTATGGCCCCTTCCACCAGGCCCAGCTGACCTCAACTACTTCTTACAGGAAAAAAAAAGGTGATAGTAGACTCCGAGGAATTTATACCATGTTTTAAACCTGGTTCAGCTGTGTTGCTCATACCTGGACTATTCAAAATTCTGCTCTATAAATCGAGACTTTCTCATTTGGGACTTCCTCTGCCGCCCCCTGCAGGATGAGTTCCTCCACTGAGTCTGGTTCCTCCCAAGGTTTTGGGCGGGGAAAGCGCTTTGAGACAATCTAATGTAAA